GAGGAGAGGAGAGGAGGGGAGGGGAGGGGAGGGGAGGGGAGGGGAGAGGAGAGGAGAGGAGAGGAGAGGAGAGGAGAGGAGAGGAGAGGAGAAGAGAAGAGAAGAGAAGAGAAGAGAAGGGAAGAGAAGGGAAGGGAAGGGAAGGGAAGGGAAGGGAAGGGAAGGGAAGGGAAGGGAAGGGAAGGGAAGGGAGAAGGGAAGGGAAGGGAAGAAGGGAAGGAGAAGGATGTTGTCAGTGAAGTACGAGGCGCCTCTGCAGGAGGGGTGAGCATCGGGGCAGCCATGGGGGCACAAACAGCTTCTTCCTGACCCGGACCATGGGGCAGTGGGCGCACAGACGAGCTTCTGGGCTCTAACAGCAGCACAGATATTAGGTGATTGCAACAGTGGGGAGAGGCAGAGAGAGAGAGAGGAGGAATTCTGGCAGGCGAGGGTCTGGACCAGAGGTTAGAGGCACAGGGACTTTCCGGTAATAAAAAAATGAGTGTCTGTTAGGCAGAGAACAGAATTTCTACACTAGGGATGTTAAAACTGCCAGGGACACAGTAAAATAAACAGTAAACTGCCAGGGACACAGTAAAATGAACAAAGGCATGGCCTGCAGACCTTCGCTCAGGATTAGAAGCAGACACTGAAAGGCGTTCTGTGAGGTTTGCAGAGGGAAAAAACAATCGTTGTTCCCCTTATGTTAGAATGCTTCGGAAGGTCAGCTCCTGGAGGGCTTCTGGTCTCCATCGCTGACTTGGGCAGGACAGAATGAGCTGCCGAGTCCCACGCCAAACCGTGCCTTTTGAAATGAGCAAATGGCACAAAGCTGCTCAGTCTGCGGGGGCTCTTACCTTTCTTGGTTGCTTCAAAGCTGTCGTGGAAGTGTATCCTCTGAATGTCGTAGGTCAGCGTTGTGTTAGGCAACAAAGTTCTGTTTCTATTAATAATATTGGCAGAAAATCTGAAGGCTTGCTCCTCAGCACTCATAACCTGGGTGTTGGGGCCATCTGCATACTCAAAGATTCCTCCTGCGAGACAAAACAAAACCAGCATTAACCCATATAAAGTTTGATTCGTAATCTTACGTATCAAGGATGAGAAAACTCCTGGGGAGAGCTTGCAGGCTGAGCAAGGCTTGCTCCGGGACGGTTCACGGGCTGAAAAAACATTTGGGATTTGTGACATGCCGGTCCGTGTTCACAATGCCGGCTCTGCAGGGCAACAGGGGACAAATTTAAAGTCTTGGAATATTTTTATGAGACAGATCAGTGGCTTCCCATAAAACTTTAGGACCAGACTTTGGGAAATGCGGACAGGCTTATTGCTCAGCTGCAGGGATGCTCCAGGTCTGTGCTCCGAGGGGTTGCTGCGGTACGAAGCCGGCACTGCCCTGCCCTATGTGCCAGGCTGGACCCCTCCCCGCCGTGTCCGCCCCCTCCAGCTCCTCACACAGGAGGCAGGCAGTCCAGCACTGCTGCTTGCTATTCTTAGTGCCATTTTTAGTGCCCTTCTCGTCTTTTATTGTCCCTCATGCTTAGTTATCCAACTTCTTAATTCAGACCAGCAGAGACTTCTGCAGTTGCCTACCCTGCAGCGTATCTGCTCAATAATGCACATCCTGAATGCGTATTTTCCCGTGTTCAAAAGTTGTTAATGCCATTACACCTCCCCAAGGGCAACAAGCTCGTGTCACAGTATCGCTGGCTTTCTTGGCTCCGTATCTGTGTCCTGTCCTCAGTTCCCCACTGACAGCCACTCTAATGGAAATGACTCAGCCCAGGTGTAATTATGTAATTGCACGTCCTTGTCTCGGAGATGTAGGCACCGTCCTGTGCCCCTTACAGAACCACAGAAACACACATAAACCTTGCTCTGTCTTATTAAAAAGTAAACCAAAATAACTAATGAATGAGTGAGATAAGCAAGTGCAATTGGTAGCAGATGGTCTCTGGGTTCATTAGCAGAAGGAAAATCTTCCTCTTCAATTTAAAGTAGTCTTAAAATGTTTTGCTATAGACAACAGATGTCTACTCAGCCCTCCTAGTTTTCAAGCAACTGCATGAATCTTCTCCAGGAGCCAGAGCACACAATCTACAGTTTTTGTGGCAATTTGGTGTTCTCCGAGAGTGCCCCTTTGGCCAGAGCCAAGCTGACAGGTCTGTTGCCATGCTCTGCCCCTCCTCACAAGAACCCCCCAAAGCCACGGGCTGAGCGAGCCACTGCAGCGATGCTGGGAGACTCACAGCAAGGGTGCAAAGGCAGTTGCAGAAAGCCTCTGACTTTTCTGCACCCCATGATTGTGGCAAGTCACTTCCCTCCCCTTCTCCTGCAGACTTTGGGCATCTGTGTCCCCGGCTGTAGAGTGATGTGTACATCCCTAAACATCCAAAAATGATGGACGTTGGATAAACAAAACTAAAGTGAGTGTGAGATTCGTCCCTGTCTTTCTGTTCTAAGCTTTACTGTCCAGAACATTTCAGCAAGGGCTTTTTTGTTTTCTAGCATCGTCCTGAAGTGATAACTGGGTTCATGTTACATTGATTATCAACTAGCCGACGTGAGGCTTTCTGCTAGCCCAGAGCTCTCAGGGTTGCTTTGGAGCGTGTCTTATTATGATGGAATATAGAAGGATTGGGTATGTGGATTATTGGTGTTTGATCCCAAATAAATCAACGTTCCGGACATCCAGCTGGATATAATGGGCTTTCTGACAGAAAAGAATTTTCTGTGCAGCCACCCAATACCTTGAATTTAGTGCAAGGCAATGAGAAAGCAGACAGGCAGAAGGAATGTATTTCTGGTTATACTGCTGGGTGCTGAATATATTGGGACAATGTGAAACCTGCTGCAGTTGCTAAGGAGTTGAAGAGCAGCCGCCACAGCCTGCTCTCTCCTCGGAAACCTGGGGGACGGGGAGCAGATCTGTTCTATGCGGGTGTGCTGGGCACAGCCCCGTCCCTCCAGCAGCCGCTCCCTGCTCTGGGAGATCGCACA